CTATAATCACCTAAAAAAACATTGGACATGAAAGAAGAATAATGCCTGCTGCTTGTCTACCATTATAAGAGAAAAGTGTTTTTTTCTTCTGTGTGCCGTGTTCCCTCAAAATGTTAGCTGTAATGGTTGCCCACAAGTCCCTGTCTTTTCTATCTTAAAAAATTGTATCCTTTTGTTATCGCTCCTAAACCTTGTTTTGCCACCCATCTAATCAATTTCGCTAAGTAGCGGCTGTTTTTCTGCCCCTCTTGCTTTCAATATATCCTTTGGGTATCAAATTTTACAAGCCCTCTTTCCTCATAATGTTCCCTACAAACTCGCACTATCTCTTCTTGGTGTTAAGTATAAGTGTCACACTTGTTATCATTTTCTCGAAAACTTTGTTTTGCCCACATGTACGATCCATGGTATTTTCAATACCCTTCTGTAGAACCCCATTTCTGTTGCTTCAAGTCTCTTAACGAGCGATAGTGAAAGCCGAAGGTGCATTGGGAAATGAAAGATAACTTCCAGACGAAAAGTAAAATATTAAGAAACATCAAAATTTTGTTAGAAACAAAGAGAAAGATTCAAATGTTTAAAATAGCATAGCAACAATTACGAAATTAAACACACATGATGATGAAACATCATTTTTCCGCGGCCATTTTCTTGGAGATCAAAAGTGAGAGATGAATACTTATTTCAAACAAGCAATCACTGCTTTTTCTTCTTTTTTTATTTCTTACAAATTTTACAAACCAATAAAACAACAAATATCAAATTATCTTTAGATATTTTAAATATTCTTTTTCTAAATTGATTTCGAATTTTCTCAAACAGTGAGATTTGTGAAAATATCAAGGAAAAATAAAAGTTTGCAAAAGATTCCGTTTGTAAGGTCACATTAATGGAAATACAAAAATTCGTGAAGGCAATTAATATAAAGTTTGTTGTTGAGTAGATCTATATTTGTGTCATGACGTCTTAAGTGAACATACATCTAACATTTTTGTTCATAAATTTTACAGTTTTTGTAAATTACAAATATATGTCTTGACGTCTTAATGTGACGTGTCTAAAATATATAACACGTACAGACACTACGTTTTCTGATGGAATCGTTGCCCCTAATTCTACCCACAAGACTAAACTGAGGAAGCACGATGGAGTAGTGGATAGCTGCTCGGGTTGAGGAATCGGAGAGCCGAGTTCGAATTCCATTCAAATCCATTACATTAACTTATCTGCTAAGACCCTTTATCCTCTTCTTCTCCCTCCAGCTATGGGTAAATAGCAGAACAGACTGGGTTCTATAGCCTTGGATGGCAATTTGTCAAGGAGGAGGACAACTCTGAATTCAAAACATGTGGAGAGTCGTTTGATTACCTTCTGCCACGTAGTCCACCAGGTCTCTGTGTTCGGCCCTTCAAAAAGTGTAGATAAGTCTGCACAAAACCTTCACTACTATAATCAATTCCTATGTGCTGGTTTCGGTTCCTAGGAACTGATCTGCTTGACCCTCATTCATCGAATTCGACGGGAGAGTCGTATGTATATATATATATATATATATATATATATATATATATATATATATATATATATATTGGGCAGTAATCCAGCTTTCATTTTTAGTTAAAATTGACTGACAAGGTACTGCGGTTCATTTTTTTTTTTTACTTTCCTTATATGGCTGCCAGGACATGTAATTTAATAATTGTGTATTAGAGTAGCAATCCCCTTTTCTACAAGCTTCATTGAATGCGACTGACATGGTTTTGCGTTTACTTTCCTTGATAACTGCCGATTCATGTAATATTTGGGAAGCAAATAAAAATTTAACTAAAAATGATTAACAAGGTCTGCGGTTAAGTTACATGACTCGGCAGCCAACAAGGTAAATCAAAATCGAAGTGCACATGTATATACTTTTCATTTCTTTTATTTTCCCAAATACTTTCGGTCTCATCCAAGATAATCCTCGGGGTGAATTGCTAAGATATAATATTAATTTCTTGCCTTAGCTATTCAACTCTGAAGATGATTATGGATGAGACTGAAAGTACTTGGGAAAATAAAAGAAATGAAAAACTACGGCGTCTTTCTTAATGAATTTGATATCAACATTAAATTGAACCGAGTATTCGAGAATAATAAAATAAAAATAAATAGACATAATATATCCAGATTATTTAAGCAAACATATATATATATATATATATATATATATATATATATATATAAGCAAATATATGGATATAGATCCGACAGTATGAAGAAAAATATATACGGAAAAAACAAACAAAAATCCTTATATACAATTATGCTGTTTTAATGTTAATATATCAACGTCGGATGTTTCGGTCTAATAAACCATCGTCAGGACATATTCATAAATTATAACATTATCAATACAATATGACAAAGACAAAGTATTTTGTTTGTTTTTTCCGTATATATTTTTCTTCATACTGTCGGATCTATATCCATATATTTCCTTACATACTGTCTACTGGAAATACAAACAAATATATATATATATACAGAGTACGATAGATAAATTGCTGCCATTTTATATTTTTATTAATATTTGTTTTTATTTGTCGACTGTACAGTATAGCAGTGTCACTTGGACATCGTATGTGGGGAAAAAAGGGCAACAAGATGCAGTTCACTTCGCCAGAATTTTGGAAACGGTAGTCTGTACAGTTTGGCATTCGCGCCAGAAGCTCCAATACGAACATTTTCGAGTGTTGGGGTGTCTATCTGAGGATATTTCAGAGGAATTGAAAGAATTGGGTGTGTCTATTGGTGATTACGAAGGAATGGCTGCTCAGAAAACTCAATCTGATCGTTCTGATAAGAAAGAAACTCCCGAATTTTTTAGTGAAGGCCTCAGACTCAACACGGACGCCTACATCAAGTGCCTTGAGGAGGTAGTGTTGCCATGGATCAAGAGGGTGGGCGATAGAATATCTTATGTCTGGCAACAGGACTCTGCACCATGCCACACAAGCACGAGCACCCAGTCATGGGTTTCAAACAATTTAGATAACAAACGAACAATGATTATATTGAAAAAATTTAGTCTTTAGTATTTCAAGATATTTTTATATATTTTTGGTAAATATGTCTGTTAAGATGTCAGTTTTATTTTCATTTTCGCTTAATTCAGACGACAATTTATCCATCACACCCTGTAGAAGAGTGTATGTGTGTGTGTTCATATTATAAATTCTTTATAGGAAAAGTGGGAATGAAAAGCAAATACATAGGCAGAAATGGTAATCTGTATCGCTTATCTCCACGAAAACATTTAAATTTTCATGAGTTTCGAACATGGGTAATAAATTGATAAAAGAACAGGCCTTTGTTTTTCTTGTTTTTTTCTTTGGGAGTAGCTGTCAAACTTGGCAAAAGGAATATGTTAAAGACGTTGGAGGATATATTGTACAGCAGTTACTTTTGTCTGGAATATCTAAAATATTACCTGCGATAAAAATGAATGTGCGTAATTGGCAAAAAACAATAGAATATAAACAAAAGTATGATATACATGTAGAAATATCTGAAAAGAGATAGATGGCAACATTACGATAAACATCTCAACATCCAGTGAATGTGAGTAAGGTTCATGTAATGTGCATGAACAGGGTGTTTTAATTCTCAAATAATAATACTAAGCTAGAATGGAATTCGCACATCAAACCAAATCGGCTAGGATGTTGAAAACCAACTTTACTCGGGAACTTTAAATTATAGCGTTTTGTCCATATTTCTGAGATGATTAATTGTAATTATTTACATTATTTACGTTATTTGCTGTCCTAATCTTCGTCACCATATTCACGATGTTTCGGCCTTCTTCAGGTGATTGTAATTTTGAACTGAAACCTTTATTTCGTCCACCGGGGTAGATTTTTCTAGTTCCTCGTGCCATGCCTCTTCAGGGTGTCTCAGTATCAGTTATCTCCCTTTTAACTCAATTCTCCATTTTTTTTTCGCCTCTGCCGTAGCCAGATATTGAACATAAAACACTTTAGGTCACGTCATAGGATTCAAGCAACCGTTTTATCCCCTGCGTCATGTGTCCTTGTCGGTCCGAAATTCCGATCACCTGAAGAAGGCTTGAAAGCATACTGGTCGAAACTTTGAAAGTTTAATCTAAGTTTCTAAATGTTGCAATAAACAATACCTTTATTTGAAGATGTGAAAACATATTCTACAAGGATCAATATTTCTCTCTTATCTTGTAATAAATCAGCATCACCTTTCGTTTGTTATCTAAATTCAACCGAACATGTTTGGAAATAAACCTGTAAGCGAAAGCAGGCGAAACTATTTAAAGTAAAATTAAAAATAAATAAAAGTTTATCAAAGAAAAAAAAAGAGTTTGTATTATAACTGACATCAGGATACTTTCATCTTCCAATTTAAAACATTTACGGCAAACACAGATGTTCAATGTTTGTGTCATCGATTCGAGGCTATTAAATTGTCGAAATTGTGGATTTATGGGATTTCATATTTCCTTTTTCAAACTACAGATAAAATTCAATATATTTCCTTCGTGTTAAATATTTATTACAGTTTGGTTTTATGTAACATAAGGATAAAGATATATATATATATATATATATATATATATATATATATATATATATATCCGATAGCACACTTAAAACCTATATTTCTCCATATATATATATATGTATATATATATATGAAGAAATATAATTTTAAGGTGTGCTATATTTATAGGTTAAAGTGCTCAATACCAGAGATAGAGCATTTGTAAACATAAGTAGAGGAAAAAACCAACACTCGTCGCCTGATGATTGCGTCTAGTATGAAACAGACTGTCGCCTATGAGTGTTGACTTCAGTGTTCATATATATATATATATATATATATATAGTATAATATTTGCAATAAATTGTTAGAAAGAGTGGTGAAAATCGGAAATTTAGTATATGTAGATATATTACTTACTGCCAGTTAATATCTCATTGTGTTAGTATCTATCTATCTTTCTATCTAACACTCTGTTCACATCTGTCTACATATCTATCTATTTTTCTATAAATCTGTTCACATCTATCTATCAGTCACTTCACATTATCTATCGATTTTCCTATCAATCTGTTCCAATATATGCAAGTGTTTATCTATCTATCTATCTATCTATCTATCTATCTATCTATCTATCTATCTATCTATCTATTAGTTCATATATATCTATCTCAGTCTTTTATCTCTCAGTTCATATCTATCTATCTATCTATCTATCTATCTATCGCAGTCTTTTATCTATCTACCTTACTATCTATCTGTTCATATATATCTATCTATCTGTACATAAGTATCTATCTATCAGTTCATATATATCTATCTCAGTCTTTTATCTATCTATCTATCTATCTCAGTCTTTTATCTATCTATCTATCTATCTATCTATCTATCTATCTATCTATCTTAGTCTTTTATCTATCTATCTATCAGTTCATATCTATCTATCTCAGTCTTTTATCTATCTATCAATTCATTATATCTATCGATCTCAGTCTTTTATCTATCTATCTATCTGTTCATATCTATCTATCTATCTATTTATCTATCTGTTCATATCTATCTATCTATCTATCTATCTATCTATCTATCTATCTATCTATCTGTACATAAGTATCTATCTATCAGTTCATATATATCTATCTATCTATTTATCTATCTATCTGTTCATATCTATCTATCTATCTATTGTACACCTTCAATCATAAGTCTCATCGAAAAGAGTACGAAATTAATTATTTCATAGAAATCCACATGAAAATGGATTTTACTGACTCACGAGGAATTCCTTCCATTCCAGAGACCTTTATTACCTCCTAATGATTCTGTTAAGTTTCTTTACTGAAACATTTACTAAGTATACTCATGAAATATTTAACCCTCTTCTAGTTCTCTAACCAATTTCTTGATGATGAAATACTTTTTTCTTACCCAAGTAACATCAAGAAACTGGTTAGAGAAATAAAAAGGGGTATACAGAAGAGAGTGATAGGAGTGATAGAAGAGGTATACAGAAGCAAGAGCAGATAGGAGTGATAGAAGAAAGGATGAGGAGAGGGATAGTGGGTAGGTCAAGGTAACTGGAGATGTCGATTGACATTACATTTGAATAGTTGGAGATTATAGCTCTCAGAGAAACAGTAATAGGGAACGGTGTTCCACAGGCGAGAGGTGCGAGGTATGAAGCTATTGGAGCAGAAGAGACGGCTACATTTAAAAGTTTCTACAGTGTGAGGGTGGGAGCGGGATACCAGCCTCGTAGGGCGCTTGATTTCATGAAGTCTGGGAAGCAGTGAAAGCAGCTCATCGGAGAAATTACCATGAAAGTATTTGGAGAAAAGAAAGAGAGAGGCGACAGCGCGTCTGTAAGAGAGTGACTGTAGACGAGATGCCAGATCAGGGCCAATTATATTACGTATCCGCCTCTGGATCTTGTCAAGAACTCCGAGGTAAATTGAAGGTGCCCCAGACGATATATGGCAGCAATACTCCATGCAAGGGCGAATGGTTGATTTGTATATTTGAAGTATCGATTCTGGGGAGAAAAATTTCCTGGCGCGGCACAGAGAGCCAACTTTCCTCGCGGTGGACGAAACAATTGACTCAATGTATTTGTTCCATCTCAGGTCAGCAGTCAACGTGAGACCGACCAGACGCAGGGAGTTGCTCTCAAGAAGTTGACTATCAGACATTCTAATGGGGGGCAGGGAAGGATCTCTATGGTGATTAATAGAGAGTAGTTTATTTTTTGAGGCGTTAAAGTTGACCATCCAATTCTTGCCCCAATTAACAACCGATTGGAGGTCAATTTCAAGACGCACGACCAGGTTAGTTTTGTCACCGACACTAGATTTGTTTTTGAGGATCGTTCGGATTTGTAATTTTCCTTTAATACAAAAGTTGTGCTCGATAGAATATTTCAGAAAATTATATCCCAGTCCCATCAATCAATAAAATTCTACATAAGTTCGATAAATAATGTTAATGAAATGGCAGACAGGTAAAAGGTAATAGCTCAAAATATAGCCACGTTGATACTCCCTATTAGAAAATGAATATATATATATATATATATATATATATATATATATATATGAATGAAAAAAGACAGACCACGTTAAGATTCCATGTAATAAGCTATTTCACCATAACCCCTTTAACAGGGTTCTGGATCATCAGACTCTCCCACCTCATTCCCTCACTTCGTTAATTTTATGTATACTTGATGAGGTCCGTCAAAAACGTGTGAATTTCTTTTCATTTTTCATTTCAGCTTTTGGAAGTAAAGTCTGATGATCTAGAACCCTGTTAAAGGGGTTATGGTGAAATAGCTTATTACATGGAATCTTAACGTAGTCTGTTTTTTATTCAAACATATCTGCTCTGAATTTTACATTGAGCTCTCTGGATGTCATTCTGCTCGGGTCTACCCATACGGATTACCTAAGTTTGCATAAACTATATATATATATATATATATATATATATATATATATATATATATATAATTTACCTGCGTGCATGCTATCAAGTCTATGCTTCCAAACCACTTTCAAAACGAAATGGAATTCAATAAAATCACTGTTAATCAATGTTTTGCTTTCGAGACTTTTTCTTTTATGTACTATGTCTCTTGAGGATGTGAAAGATCATAGCTCTCCACAATGTCCTGTCTTTTGTCGTCCATAGTAAATTTTGTCTTATTGAGTTATCTCCCAGTCCCTGTTCTGCCAATACAAGCTCGTTAAATAGGTTACGCAGCGCTTTACCCGCCCGTGTTGCCTTCAATATGACCTGTGAGTATCAAAATTTCCAAGCACATTTCCTCGTTATGTGCCTTATCAATTGCAACACTCTGTTTCTGATTCGACATAGAAGTGTCCGTTTTGGTTCCATTTTCGGTAAAACTTAGCCGGTGTACACGGATTCAGTCGATGGTATTCTCAGCAGTCTTCTGTAGAAAGACATTCCCAAGTCTCTTTCGCGTCGGTGATGATAGTGTTCCAGCATTTACTGGAATATCATTTTTCTTAGATTCTCGAAAGTTTATGCGCAGTTTCGCATCCGAACGAATAGGAAGTCTACTGTACTAAATTTTTCTGTTTTAAATTGCTTTGCATGTTCGTCTAGTTTAATTGTATTGAGCGCTTTTTAATTAACTTAACCTTTTTTGACAAATATATAGTGGGTACTCGTATTTGAAATAGAAGTCACGTTTTTAATTTTATTTTATGCACAATATGAAGTAATAAAAATGTATTAAAATAACTCCATTAACTCTTTATACATCACTCACTCTTTCTCTTCCTCTTCCTGAATGTTGACTTCAATATTCCCTTTCACACTTTCACACTTTCACACACACACACACACACACACACACATATATATATATATATATATAAAACTATGAAAGGATGATTGTAGTTGTAACCCAAGTTTCACTTTCACGCCGTCTTTGTAATTCTACACCACTATCTCTGAAAATCTGTTAGATAAGGCTATAAATTAAACTCTGCCCAGATGAACTCAGTTTCGAATCCTGCCGATGGAGACGAAAATAAATTAATATACTGTTTAATAAATAAAGGAGAATCATCTCAAATATGAGTAGCCACTAAAAATAATGTCTAAAGTGATAATATATATATATATATATATATATATATATATATATATATATATATAAAAATTTGTTTTTGCTCGTTCGGGGAACTGAATAATAGAGAATACAACGTAAAAGCAAATTTTGAATATTGATTTTTCCATATCAAACACACTTAATTTTTGCCGGACAAAACAAATCTTAGTAAAACTCTACAATGTATGAAATCATAAATGAAATTTCTGTGACCATTTCACTGACACTTTAGACTTAATTTCTTGTTCTGTATCGAATAGCAAAGTGACAGTTATGGGAAATATGATATTACCGTATTGTTACTAGTTATGGTGACGCCAGCCTGAAAATATTACATGTATAATTCTTGAGTCTCAGCGTATGTTCATAGGCCACTGCAAGTTGTACATTAGAAAATAACCAGATGGGTATTCGAACATTTAGAATATCGCAAAAACCGATAGGAAATATTAAATCAGTTTATCAAAGCGATTATTAGAAGCCATCTGCACAATGTCTTCTTCATATTCAGATCTTATTATAATATCAACTTAAGAAATTATAAAAACGATTTACGGTGAAAAAAATCTTTTTTATATGCTGTGATCCCTCAAGACGTAAACGGACAAGGTTCTCCACAACTTCCTCTTTTTGTAGCTCTTAATAAATTGTGCCTTCTTGTTATCTCTCCTAGACCCTGTTCCGCCATCTATTTACTCATGCTCACTAAGTAGATTATACGTTGTTTTCCTCTATCTCTCTTGCTTTCAATCTGTCCTGTGAGGATCAAATTTTCCAAGCCCTCTTTCCTCATTATGTGCTTAATAATTTCAAATGAACTCTTCCTGATGATAACGATAATTGTCCTTGTTGTTTCCATTTACACTAAAACTTAGTCTTTCCTCACATGCTTGGTCCATGGTATCCTCAGCATCCTTCTGTAGAACCACGTTTCTGCTGTTCCAAGTCTCTCCTTCATCTTTGAGGAGATTTTCCAGTATTCAATGCCATATAGGGAGACTGATATCGTGTAACAGCTTAGTACTCTTTTCCTGTTTCTACTGAAGTTTTTCTCTCTCTTAATACTCAGCAGAGCATTTGGAATGCATATTTGGGAATCCCAACGTGCCTTCGGATTTTTGTGTCGCACTGTCCGTCCTCTGGTAGAACACATCCCAGATATTTTAATTTTTTTTATACTTGTTTGATTTTCCTATTTTCGATTTGCAATTCGCACTTTGGAATCATCATTTTTGCTAACAATAATGTATTCTGCTTTCTTCCAGTTGATTTTGAATCCTTTCATCTTGCTTTCCTTCACTAAAATGTGTAAGAGTTTTTGTATTTAATTTCCGTGTCTGCTATTAACACCGTCATCTGCATACCTTATGTTGTTAAAATTGTAACAGCCAATAATGAATTTTGTTAGGATTTTTAATTCTGTCAGAATCGCTTCGCTGTATAAATTGAATAAGTCCGGCGAGAAAACACATCCTTGTCTTACACTGCTTTCTGTTTTTGTATATCTGCTAAACTCATTTTCTATCGCGATGCAGGCGGTTTGCTGCCAATATAATTTCTTGATTATTATAATATATTTCCCAAATATTTCAAGGTTGCTATGCAGATCCAACATTTCTTTGTGGCGTAATTTATTAAACGCCGTTGCGTAGTTTATACAGGTACATGTCCTTCTGCATTTGTATTGCATTTGTGGTAATATTCTGAGCGTTCTTTACTCCAGTATATTCGACGCCCATGCACTGTTCCTGTGCGTTCTATTCATCAGAATTAGGATAGGTTTTGCTATATGGCTCATTAGTGTGATTGTCCAATGGAGTTTACATTCCATTTCATCTGGTTTCCTAGGCAGTTCTATGAAAATAGATATATTTCAGTTTTCCGCTGTGTCACGACTGTTGAAGGTTTCATTTATTATTTATGTGATCTTTTCTGTGTCGAAATCATCTAAGGCTGCCAGAATCTTTATTATAATTCCGTCTGTCCCTGCCGCTTTGTTTCTGTTCAATTTGGCTGGTGTCGATTGCAATTTATGCTTTCTGTTTATGCTATCAGTTGCTGGATGAC